CTCCAGTATTCACTAACAAACCCTACCACCAAACCAATCAAAGAAACAGAAATCCTAGCAATCCAAAACTCTAACTGTCAACCTCTTTGTATCTTTCAAAACCATCAAATTATAAAACACAATACCACAATATATACTATCTCTCTAGCTTAATACTACAAAATAATATTCTGTCCAGAATCCAACTGCCAATACAAACTTCCAGGAGGAACAACTCCTATACATCATTACTTTTCTCAACACAAAAACTGAAAAACATTTGCCAAACAACTTGCTAACAAAAACTTATTCTACATCAAACAGCTTCTCAACTTCAATGACAACAAAATTACAAGCTGGCAATACATCTCAGCCAGGCTGGGACGCAACACTCAAGGAAAAACTCCCCTTTGATACAACATTCTTTCACAACTACAATTCAACCAAACAGGAACAACACTTACCCAACCCAACAAAAAAAGAAAATGGATAGCAACTCTTATTAACAACAATATAATCATTGGAAAAAAAACAAAAAACAAACAAAAACAATCTACTAGTCAAACACTGGACACACAACAATCAAGATCTCAACAAATCTCTAACAATTTCAAAATGCAATTGATGTCCTCTTAATATCCATCCCAATATACATGAATGCAAACTACTCGTCCCACACAACTGCCTCAATCTATTTACCAAATCAATTGCAAACAATATGCTCAAAACAAAAATAACAAAAAACGATCTTCACAACTTTCTACAAACCAACATAAATACAAACAATCCCCAAATAATTATTCCTTCAGACCTATCTAACTCACTTAAAAACAAACACTTCTCCAATACATCTCTGAAAATCATCGAAGACCTTCCTAACTTTCAGGACTCTTCACTGGAAGTCCTATTAACATTCAAACTTAACACCAACACTATCACAGTCACCTGGAACTACGTGCAACATTATCAATCATTTACTACATACTTCAATCTACAACTATTCCTAGCTTTACTTCATACAATCATAATAATATTACTTACCAACAAAACAAAAGATATCATAATCTTCTCCAAACATCCCAAAATTAACAACAAAACTTTCGCACCACCACCACCCAATCACAGGAAAAAATGCAAACTCCTTTACTTCTCAACAATCACAAACATTCACAATATAATGCAAACTCTCCAAATACCCTTATCTTTCTACAAACCTACCACAAAAATACTCAAAATACAATCTACTAATACTATTATATCTCAAATAAACATTATCGACACATTTCCTATTCAATACATACTAACAAATACACAAAAAAATCTACTACCCGAACTAGAAATTATCTCAAGCAAATCAACAAAACATGACGACTAACAGAAATAATTCACTCAGAAAGAGCAAAAACAACTTTCAAACCTGACTTATTACTTCTCACACAAATTTTAACATTTCTCAAAAACATATCTATCCCAATTACACAATATCAATCCAAACTATATAACTTCCATCTCAAAATTCTCTTCAATACTCTTCTTACAAAAGCACATCTCCATACAATATCTTCAAACATATACACCAATGACCTATGCCCACGATATAACACAAACCCAGAAACAACTCATCATCTCTGGACTTGCAAAGAAAGCCTAACAACACTCAAAAAAATAACCAATAACATACAAATACTATTGGAAAAAAATTTCAAAAACAACAAAAATTTTGACGAAAAACAAATTAAAAAACTACTAAACACAAATATCAACATTATCAATTTTGCAACAGGTATCCTCCAACCAAATATAATCTTCAAAAATCTCAAACTAACACAAACTAATCTCAAAAATATTAATGAAATTCAAAACAAAACACTTGAACTACTATACATGCAAATATGGATATCTAGAAATCAAGAGATGATTGCAGAAGAAAAATTTTTCGACATATCACAAAACATCAAATACAATAATAACAATAATAACAACAATAACAACATCAACAATAACAATAACAACAGACCTTACAACACACAAAAAAACAAAAAACATCAATTTCAACAACAACAACAAACAACTTCAAACAATACAATATCCAATAACACGAACCAAAATGACAAACTAACTAACATCATTCTCCAATTATTTTCATAAAACTTATCCATGTCCGTACAGGATAAAATAAATTATTAGGAAGGCATTAGCTCTTCAAAACTAAGTAGTTACTTTCTTTTTTCCTTGCATTAAGGTTTTTTATCAGAAATATACTTAGAATGGTAGTAGGCTGACATACATAATGATGTATCTTAGTATCTTAATATTAATTATATAATATTGCAATTACTCTATTAATAAAGATCACGAGAAATGCTTCGCTTAACAAAAAAAAAAAATTAAAATTAAAAATTTGATTAAATATTTTTTAAACAAATTATATAAATTCAAATAACAAAAATATTTTTTTTGTTTTTTTTTAATAAATAATTTTTTCTTATATTTTATTAATTCAATTAGAAAAATTATATATTATTTTATTTATTATTCATTTAAATATTTTATTAAAAATTATATTTAAATTAAAAAAAATTTTTTTTTGTATATTAATTTTTTGTTTTTTATTATTGAACTTTTTTTAATATTATTTATTTTTTTTTACAAATATTTTAAAAATTATATTGATATATTGAAATAAAATTTTTAATTAAAAATTAGCAAATTTTAAAAAAATTAAATAAAAAAATATTTATAGTAATTATTTTTTTAAAAAATTTTTAAAATTTTTAATTATTTATATATTTTTGTTTTTAATAATTTGAGAGGTTATCAATATATATTACAATTTATATTTGTTTATGCAAATAATTTGCAAAGTTATTTGAATATTATAAATGAAATATCAAATTTTCAACAATACATTTTATATTTTATTGTATTCCAAAATTTAAGAAAAAATTATTTAAGAATTTTCATAAAAAAATTAAAATTGATTTATTCTTGTTAATTGATTAATATATCATTCTTATTTAAAGATTATTATAAACAATTTTACAAATTAAAACTTATAATTATATAAAAATTTTTATTTATTTATATATTTTTATTTTTGTAAAAAATTAAGATAACCATTATATAATGATACTGTAATTAGTGATAATTATCTTATTTATTTTAAAAAATTATTAAAACAACAAATATATAGTTATAATTATCAATCATAATTATCAATCAACAATTATTATATTCCAAAAATTATTTTTTGATTTTAATGAAATAATATGAAAGCAAAGATAAATAAACTTTATTCAAAAATTGTAAAGTCAAATATCTATTTTATTGATATAAATATTTTAATTTTTATAAAACGAATTATTAATGTTTCTTTTACTTGATTTTATTAATTTTAAAAATGTATTGATCTTGTATATTGATAATTTCAACTTAATATCTTTCTGCTATTATTATTATTTTTTTTTTCAAGATGATATAAAATCAAAAAAAGATTTTAATATATGAAGAACTGTGGAAAACTATAAAAAAAAAGTCAAGTGCTTGCTTTCTATGATATTAAATAGTATATTTACAGTATATAAAAATAAATAAATACGTGTATTTGGTTTTTATGTTATTTAATTTAATGAACTTCAAAGAAAAGCAAATATCGTACAGCATATTATATAACAATAATATTTATGTGTAATATCTTTTAAAAAAATATTATTATTATTTTATAATTGAAAAATTTGTTAAAATGAATTTATATACTACGTACGGTACAGTATTTTATTTATTATTCTATCGATACAGTATATTTTAATCATACCGATATAGCCTTTTTACTTTTTATAATCGGCAAAAACAATCAAATGTTAATATTTGTTTTATAATATCTATTAAATTTTTATAACATTACATTATATCATCATAATATAAATCTAATTTAAATAACCGAATTCCATCCTTTATTTTTGTTAAAAAGATCTGTGTAAATTTTAGTGTTAAAGAAATTTTATTTATTGAAATTGTAAATTAGATGTAATTATGAATGTTGTACTATCGTTTCCTTCAACTCCTTTTTTTTGGTTCAATATAATAACAAGAAATTTTGAGATTATGGTATGCGTGCGTGTATCAAGAAAAGCCGTAATGAAAAATTTTTTTTTTTTAGATTTATGCCTGTAGGTGGCCCTCGTGGTTGTGCAAACGCTCTTCGGTTTTGAAATAATTTTCGCGATTGCCGTGCATTGACGATGTCTGCTGCACGCTTCCAACCGTCATGTCGCCGATCATCCCTACCCCCATTCCGAATCCGTTCATACCACCGACATCGACTCCAATCCCTATGTTCCCCATGCTTCCTATGCTGTGAGATTTTCTTCCGGAAACTCGTCTACCCCGCCCACTCCCTTGTCTGAAACTCCCCAACATACCGCAATTGCTGTTTCCGTTCGTTCCGTGTCCTTGTGCGGAACATCTGCTCACTCCATTATTAGTTCCATTAT